GCCTCAATCATTACAATGAAAATATAGCTCAAGACATATTTCAGCGCATGCGCTGAAATACACACACACACACACACACACACACACACGCACACACACACCCTTAAGAACAGTCAAACTCAAAGAAGCATCTTAAAAGTAATTTTTCACTTGGCATAGTCACACACTTGTAATTCCTCTGAGAGGCTGAGGCAAGGAGATCACAAGTTTAAGTCTAGTCTGGGCAACTGAATGACAGATCCCGTCTCAGAATTTAAAAGGGCTGGGGATGTAGCTCAGTAGGTCCTGGTTCAGTCCCCAATACTGTTATATCATCAATCTAACTTTTCCTCTCTATATAAACAGGATAGGTTCTGCTTTAGCTGTAAATGGTTATTCTTTACAAAAATCATCACCTTACCTGAGAATCCCAAATTTAAAGATCTTCTGATCACTGAATGTTATAAGTCACTATGAAAATCAACTGAAATCAGTTTTGGCTACCTGGGCATTCATATCCAACATTTCTAAGGTAGTTTTTAAATGGGAAAATGGAGAACCCTTCATTATAGCTACAGATTTGTTAAGAAATACAAAGTAACAGACATGCCTAAGAACTGGCATCCACAGGGAGAGGAGAATGAGAGGAAGGAGAGAAGGGAAATTAAAAAGGATCAAGATGTGACATGTATATGTACCTATTTGCCACAATGAATGCATTTATCATGTATCACTAATTAATAATAATAGTAATAATGATTTTTAAATTACAGTGTTCAGAAACCTGACCTCCATGTTTGGCTTTGCCACTGACTGACTGTGAGAGCCTGGACAAGTCACATGACTTAAATTTCTGGGTCTAAGTTTCCTCTTCTGTAAAATGAAAATGGACAAGATAATTTTTCTCTGCACCCTCCTTGAATTCCAACACCCAGAAGGAAAACAGAGCTGCTGAATGAAAAAATAAATTAAGCTTACAGTTACAGAATACAACTCTGTCCCACATAAACATCAACTTCTTTTTTATTTTTTCCATGAAGGAAAATGTTTGAGGGCATTTGCCTTCAGGAAGCAAGGCTGAAAGATATGCCATCAACAGCTGATAAAAGAACAGCTAGTGGAAGAGGAAAGCATTAAGATAGCATTGGATAAGGAGTAAGAAAGACCTGACCTTGGTTGGGCAATGAGGGATTGCCACATAAGAGAAATGAGCTGGAAGGCACAGACTAGAGCAGGAACACAAAACCAAGGGCAAAGAAAGATGCTTTTAGTACATTTGTGGTTTTTTGCACACTAAATTAATAGGGAAAAGCTAAGTACTTGTAGCATTCTGAAAGCAGCAGGAACTGACACACAAACATGGGGAAAGAATGTACTACTCCTACCTTGTAAGATCAAAAGCAGCTAAGGAGAGGCCAGGAGGAACGTTTGGTTGCAAAATTCTAGACCCTTTAGACACTAGAGACTACTGGATACTGTATAATGATTCGGAGGGGAAGAAGAGTCTCACCCTAGACTCCTGGACCTAAGCCCTGACAGTGTCTGAACAGACAGATCACTGTTATCTGTACTGTGTGAATTCTCTCTTTCTTGCCTGTCACAGGGGCGACACAAGCACTAAGCTCAGGGTACTCAGTCAGGCGCCCTTCCTCCTCTCCACTTCCCTTCCATCCCTAAGTTAACAACCTATCAATCAAATGGAAGGCAGAGGAGGAGGCAGGAGCCTGAAGGCTCTGTCTTGTTTATTCCACAACATTCCCTCCCTAGTCTTTTAGCTGGCAGGAAGTATGAGGCAGGAGTGTTCAACAACAATTCAGGGTAGCAGCAATGCTAAGAGCCATCTGTGATCTCTCCTAGAATGCTTAGGAAACAGTACAGGGAGCCCTGCCAGAGAGGTGTGGTGGAGCAAAAGCAGATTCCATGAAGGGAAATCCATATCCTTGGCTGACGGAAAATTTCCTTGGCCACAGCCTGAAATATCTACCTTGAGGAGAGAGAAGGCCTTGAGATAGGTAATTTGAATATTAAAATCTCCCTCACTACTAGTAGTCGACAGGGGACAATTCTACCCTGCACTGCAGACCCCACTGTCTTCTCTCCTATTTCAAAGCAGGGGTCACTGGGGTGAGGGAGAATTCTACTCTAGATGCTTTCCAAATTTTATGAGTTTCACCTCTTAACTCCCAGCTCAGAGTATGCAGTTCTAGATTACATCCAAACATCTGTTTTGATGTTCTGCTTCTGTTGGCTGTCCCTACAAAGAAGGAATATTCCAAACCAGTTAGGCCACAGGAAAGCCTGTATTTCACAGAAAAGAAAACCTTCATCACCAAACAATGACTGAACATCTCTTATGCCCCAAACTCTGAGGTTTTTGTTACTCAAGAGCTGTTCCCTCCAAGGATCCTACCTTTCCTATTCTTTCTTCCTTCTTTCCTTTTATTTTGCTTTTTGGGGAGTTTTTGCTTTTGTTTTTTGAGACAAGGTTCTCCTTTGTAGTTCAGGCTGCCCTTGAACTCACTGTGTAGCCCAGACTGGCCTCGAACTTGCAGCGATCCTCCTGCCTCAGTCTCCTAAAGGCTGGACAGTCATGGTGGCACCATGTCCAGCTCTTTCTCTATCTGTGGTTCTGGGGATCAACCCAAGGCTTGGTGCTTGCAAGGAAAGCGCTTTACCATTGAGCTACAATCCCAGCCTCTCTCTTTCCATTCTAGAAATGCTCTCTCCCTAGCACAGTGTTTTCATCTCCTAGTGACTTCCAAACATTTATTTAAGTAATTATTTCACTGGCAAAGGCAATATGGTAAAGCAGCGCCAGAACTGGTGTATTCAAAAGGGTTGAAGGAACAAAGGAAGGGCTGTGAAAGCAGGTTCTTGCTCATGGTAATGTCAAACTGCACTGCATATTTTCTGCTTTCAAAAGTACTTTCCTGCGCCGGGGATTTAGCTCAGGGGCACCTTGCTTGCCTCTCAAGCGCTAGGTCGTAAGTTCAATCCCCAGTGCTGCAAAAAAAAAAAAAAAAAAAGTACTTTCCAGCAATTTTATTTTTTCCTCAAAAACTGAAGTCCCATCTCCCTTTTCTCTTTCACTCCACTGTCTCATGCTCAGTCTACCAGGTGAGATATAGCCACATTAAGGGGCAAAACTCCATGGCACCATGGTGTATTATTAGCTGAATGTATTGCTTCTTTCAGCCCAATTATGCTCTGAAGGGCAGCTACCCAACCAATCCCTGCACCTATATAAGAGAAATGGGTTCCATTTGCTTCTCTGTTGTAGACAATCATGGACATTTAGACTTAAATCCAGTATGAAGCTAGGCAACATTAAGCCTTTCACCCATAAACTTTTATTTTTTTGTACCAGGGATTGAACTCGGGACCTTGCGCTTGTGAGGCAGGCTACAACTGGGCTTAGAAGATTGCAACATAAGTATTGTAATAGAAAAAGAAAAAGCCACCCTCACATGTGCTTTCGGCACAGGAAGAACTCTTACCAACATGGATATATGGCAAGAGTTTCCTTAAGCCATATGTAGGGAACAGTCTAAAAGGCCTGGAACAGAAGCAGGAACTCCTTGTACTCCTAGGCCTCTTGAAAACAGTATTATCCATCTGCACCCCAGAGAAAATGGCAAATCACAGCCAGCACAGGATAAGCCATGCCAGTAACCAGCTGGAACTTTACTCCAGTGAGGTAATCTGCCACCTAAACACAGGCAGCCTCTCTGGCAGCTGCCACTGATAAAAGGGAATAAGCCACTGTGTTATTAGTGTAAGAAATTCACAGCTTTTTTACCAGAGAAGCCCAGATGTTGCTAAAAGCTACAGATGTGCCAGAGGCAAAGACCAAAATACCTACAGCAAAGAAAGCACAAGCTACCACTAAAATCCATGCACTAAGGGCACCATCACCCAAACATACACATCCAGTCTTTGTTTATTAACACTTACACATGGAAATAGGTGTTCCCTGCTGCAGCTGATGTAATTACAGAGAAATCAATTTATACTGCATTTGCAGGGATCAGCTGAAAGCACAGAATACTCTGAGCACAGAGCAGAAAATCAAGAGCCAATGAGCAGTTCATCACCAGGCCAGCTGCTTTGTAGGAAACTGGAAGCTGCTCAAGATGAAGGCAGCCTGAGCTGACCCTGGACTCAAACTTACTAGCCCTACAAACTCCATTTCCTGAGACACCAATTAAGATCATCATCTTCCCAAAGGAGGGACACAGTTCTGACCCCTCCTGTGGCTACAGGCACTATCCTTCCAAGTCAAGCAAAAGGCAAGGTATCATTACACTATTTGGCAGTGATAAAACCACCAGGAGACTCTGATTCCCAATAGCTGCAGGAGACACCTGGCAAAGAGCTACACTTTCAGCGGCCAAAGAATCTTTCTAGGCCCAACTGTCACAGCCACAACAGTAACTCGTAAGGCCTGAGCAAGTTCTTCACAGTACAGTTAGTACCTCCTGTCCCCTGTTTACCAGTTCAGATGCTGCATCTCACTCCTTTTTGGTAGCCACCACAGAACACTTGGTAGATAACCTCATGAAATTTAATTAACCTTTGTTCAAGAAACCCAGCAATACCATTTATTCCATTAACAGCACTCAAACTGTACATGTAACCAAAGATCTATTAAGTGTGTCAACTATTATGACTTTGATGATGAATGTCAATCAAGCAGGACACCACATAAAGGTTTGATGTCAGGCTCTAACAACAAATGTCTGAGGTGGGACAATGACAAGGTAGCAGAAAATTCACACTACCAAGTAGCTACCCCCAACAATAGATACACTATTCCGAAATCTCCAGGCTTGCTGTAAATGGGTCTGTAGGGAATTCTCTAATTTGGAATAAAACCACATTATCATTACCAGCTGCTCTGACCTTGTAATTGGTCATTACCCACAAACTAATGAGCCTCCCACAGAGTGCACACAGCATTTGGCAGTTAATCCAGGGCAGTTTTGACTGGCAGTGGGCAGCCAGATCTGGCCACCTCTTACCTTTTCAGACTTGACTTTCTTTAGCGGGCGACACTCATTCTCCCCTTCCTCTGGCTCCGGTTTAGCTCCCAAAGGATTGAGCGCTGCCCCAGGCTCAATCGCTATACTCCCAAGTGGCTCCACAGCGCCTGTATCCACCCCTGCACTTCCATCATACTGACCACCCCGTCCTCCCAAGGCAACTGGCTGGAGGACCCCAGGATCCTTTTCTGAACAAGTCCCCACTCCTTCGCTTCTCTCCTTCTTGCTCTTAGACGAACTGTTCTCCTTCTCCTTTTTGGAGCCGGCTACACTGCGTGATGCCTTAGCCGCCTTCTCCGAGCCCTTGGGAGCAATAGCAGCAACCAGGCCTCCTGCATTGGCACCATCTCCTGAGCGCCCCTGCACCTCTTTCTTGCTAGCTGCCCCCTCACTTGGAGTGTACAAGGAAGTCCCTGGAGTAGGTTTGCTAGTGTCTTTGCCACTCTTATTCCTTTTGGATTTTGATTTGCCTTCCTTCCCTTGAGGACCTGGCACTGGGGTCACAAACTTGATGTTGTCTGGTAGTGTGGCCACAGCATTGGGAGCCGGTATCCCCACCTCCTTTGAGCCTGACATTTCCAGTTTCTGCTGGTCCTTTTCCAGATCGGCGTCCAGGTCAATGATGAGATTCCCTACTCCAATGTCCCATTCATCCCCACTGTCGTATGTCTCAACCGGGTTTGCATCCACTCCTTTCCCTCCGGAGGCTCCACTGCTCAAGGACATCTTAGAGTCAACGTCCCACCTCAAGATTCAAGGCTCTTCCTTGCCCCCAGCTTTCCTATTTTCAGCTTCAGCTATGTTCTCAGACCTGCCACATTGGTCAGTACATGCCCAGTGGACAACATCATTGCTGGAAAAAGAAAATTTAAAAAGCTGTTAAAGGAAACAATACAGGCAAGGAGACAGCCTGAAATAAACTCCCACACAAAACAGACCATTTCTGCATGGCTATCACACCACAATGGACAAGACAAACAAGTTAAAGTTCATGTCTAACCAAGTCACACTGGACCTAGGGAAGAGTTAATTCCCACTCCATCCCCAGGAGAGAGTATACATTTCCAACTTCCCAGAGAGTCTGTGGTGAGTCTTAACTAGGAGTCCTCCAGAGTTAGTTTCCCTTTCTTCAGAGACTTACTTTTATTACCCTGGCTATCTGGCTGAATCTGGCTATCCTCCCTCAATCGGTATAGGGTAGGCCCTGGGATATCACAGATTCAAGGTCTAGTACTATTTTACTTATACCCCCATTTCCTCTTTGCTTCTGCAAATGATCGAGCAAAGGGTTTTTTTGTTTTGTTTTGGTACCAGGGATCAAACTCAGCACCTTGCGCTTTTGAGGCAGGCACCGGAACCACTGAGCTAAATCCCCGGCCTGAGGCCAGAGAAGTTACATCAGCCTTATCAAATTCCAGTTTTCTAATCAGGTACAAAAAGCAGGGTTCAATGTGGTCTTTCCCACTCCCTACTAAAATACTTATAAAGCAAGCATGGTGGCACATACCTGTAGTCCTATACTCTGGGAGGCCGAGGAAGGAGGATTGCAAGTCTGAACCCAGACTGGGCAACTTAGCAAGACCCTGTCTTGAAATTAAAAAAATTAAAAATGGGCTGGGGATGTAGCTCAATGTGAAGGCCCTGGGTTCCATCCCCAGTGCCAAAACAAAACAAACTTGCCAGGATATGGAATAACTCTGCACTTTTTTGTATTTTCTGACATAAGAATGATGGCACTGTATTGACAGAAACACCAGGGTTTCATACCACATGGAAGAGAGGAAAAAAGGGGTCAAGGGAGTATTAAATGGCAATTTATACCTCTCCACTGTCTCCTGACTCATAAGCCCTAGGGAGCGTACCATCTAGAAAACATGCAGTCAACATATACCATTCAAGTTTATTTTATGACAAAGCCAAAAAGTTCCATTCTTGCTTACTCCTCAGTGCATCATCTTTCTATGTGCATTGAGAAAATAACTTGTATAAGATAAATAAGCACACAGAGCAAACCAGTGGTGTCATACTGTAACCTGCAAGTGGCTATCTAAAGGTAAGTGCTACAGATAGAAGAGAAACAAGACAAATTGTGTTTTTAACCTTCTCCCTCAGAACAGCATCAATGATCCAGAGTGCAGGAGCAAGAAATGATGTCATCCTAGAACAGCAGAGCTGTACCAGGGGAATGTCTGCTAGCAACTATGATTTAAGAGAGAAAGAGGCATGGATATTAATCTGCCATTTAGCTTTAGACTTGAATAAAAAATATCTCCATGACCAAAGTGGAAAGCTTACTGCCAACATCATTCAATTATTGTTTATTAGCAAATGTCAAGCTTACCTAGTTCTTACTTCATACAGGCTGAACAAAAAAGGGGCGGGGGGCAAGATGTGGGAAGTATGACAAAAAGTCACCCACAAGATAAAGGAAACATAATCCCTTAAAAAACAGGGAGATGGTACCTTTGAAAACGATAAAAAATTCTGGAGAAATTTTTAGTTAAGTGGAATTTACTAATAAATATTGAAGGGGCCGGGGATTTAGCTCAGTGCTTTCGCCGTCTGCTATACAAGCACAAGGACCTGAGTTCGATACCCAGTACCAATAAATAAATAAATATATATATATATATAGGAAATACATACTATATATATATATATATATATATTGGAATTCTCAGTAGTACACATAAAGACTTGGTCTCCATGAAAGAATAGTAATTTATTTGACATTTTAAAATTTTATTGTCTGCTATGTGCTAGGCACTGACCTAGGTACTTGCTGAGAATACAGCAGTGAAAAAAACAGTAAGTAAGGAAGTGGAACATGGTAGTAAAAATTATTCTACTCTGAGGAGGCGAGGGCATTTCTAGGAAAGGCAATGTTAGACTCAATCTCCACTACAGAGGATTATTAGGACACACATCTTCCCAAAATCATAATTTATCACCTCTGTAATCTTTGCAATTGTAGCTAGGACTAGTGTACAATCCACATTAATCCAAGGTTTACCCACTATATTCCATAGCTGCACTACCATTAGTATGTAATTTAACCACTAACACAATTCCATGTTGTTTTATCCTTGCAAATATGAAACTTTCCTTAAAGACTTTCCTCTATAAAATAGGATGGCAATGAAGAAAGACTTGAGGATTATATAAAGGAAAGCATAAACATATAAAAATGTTAGTGCTCACTGAGCTTTTGATGGTTATCACACTATTACTCTGGCTGACCAGATGTATGAGACAGGATAAACAAAGTATGCCAATAAGTAGGTGACAGGCTGAAATGAAAAGATATAACTTAGCTGAAAGGACAAAAGGACATATAGAACAAGACAGGCATGGTGGTGCATGCCTGTAATCAGCACTGGGAAAGCTGAGGCAGTAGAATCATGAGTTTGAAGCCAGCTTAGGTATGTAGTGAGTTCAAGGCCAGTCTAAACTACATAATGAGACCCTGTCTCAAAAAACAAAAAGAACCAAAAATTAACAAAGGGGAGATAGGGGTATGGCACACTGGTAGAGGGCTTGTGTAAATGCACAAGGTCCTGGGTTAGATCACCAGCGGGAACATGTGCGGACATAAGTGAGGGCATACATGCATGCACACATGCACACACACACAAAGACACAAGCAATATCAATTAAAATTCATAAGAAATCAAAAAGCACAGCCCTAAAACAGTGAGAAATGGATCAGTGACACTTAAAACACTTAGATATTTCCCCAGAATTAAACACAAATGGATAATGAAGAGAAAAGAATGAAGTAAACAGCTCAAGAGTTAATGCCACTGAAGGAAAACAAAAGAAGAGATTAGAACAAATGGGAGAAGAGCAACATATGGAAGACATACTACATGAATAACATTTTGTCAAGCAGGTTGGTTTTTTTTTTGGTACCAGGGATCGAACTAGGGACCTTGTGTTTGCAAGGCAAGCGGCAGCACCACTGAGCCAAATTCCCAGCCCCATAAATAACATTTTGAACAGAACAAAGATTTTGCATGCAGACTGGAAAAGTTCAGTACATTTTCCACAAAATTAATTTAAAAAGCAAACTTGCACACATTTTGGCAAATTTTTTTAAATACAAAGGACAGGGCCGGGGATTTAGCTCAGTGGTTCTGCCGCCTGCCTCCCAAGTGCAAGGTGGTCCTGAGTTTGATCCCTGGTACCACACACACACACACAAATTAGCTGGAACACTAAAATCAGTTAAAAGTACCATAAATTTAAGTAATTCTTACAAATCAAACACCATTAAATTTGGTAACCTGAAGGGAAAGCTCAACACATACACTAAAAATTATCCCTAAAAAGAATAGGAGGCAAAATCAATACTTTATAATAATGTTAAAGCTCAGAAATTTAGGCCGGGTATTTAGTTCAGTGGTTCTGCTGCCTGCCTCACAAGCACAAGGTCCCGAGTTTGATCCCCAGTACCAAAAAAACAAAAAAATGCTCAGAAATTCATCCTTAATACCAAGAAATAATAAGGTATAAAAACACCTGAGCCTGGACCAGGGATTTAGCTCAGTGGTTTTGCCACCTGCTGTGCAGGTGGCAAGGACCTGAGTTCGATCCCTGGTACCAAAAAAACCCCAAAAAACAAACACCTGAGCCAGGCATGGTGGCACATGCCTGTAATCCCAGCACTCAAGCCTGGTCTGGGCAACTTAGTGACTTAGTGAGAGAGATCCTGTCTCAAAATAAAAAAAATTTAAAGGGCTGGGGATGTAGCTCAGTGTAAAGGCCATGGGTTCCATGCCTAGTATTACAAAATAATCATAACAACAACAATAACAGGCTGGAGATGTAGCTCATGGGTAAAGCACTTGACTAGCATATGTCTGGTCCTGGGTTCAGTGCTCTCAGTACTTGGGGCGGGGTGGGGGGGGGATTTAGGAGAATGGTCATCTTACAAAAAAGTTAACCCTCAATTTCCTGTTGTTCCAATTGCATATATCACAGCAATCTGTTTTGTTCTGGTTTTAGTTTGTTCTTTCTAGTAAGCAAGTAATACTACCATTACATTTTTTAAAAATTGCGCTTCTTCTGAAAAGAGAGCTAGAGGTAAAAAGACTATCTGGTGATCTATGTTCATTTTCAGATTCTTTATCTTGAGATACTTGTTAAGTGTAAGGATACACTAGAAAGTACAGTATGGTAAAAGACTGGGAGGCCACTTAGTAAGAGGAAAGGTTTTAGAAAATGGTTTCATTACTCTAGAAAGGACAACACTGAAGGGAGAGGGGCTGGTTAGCTTCAAATATACGATGGCTACAATGTGGAAGAAAGTTATTCTGTGATGCTGAGGGCAGAAGGATCAGTAAGAAGTTACAGAAAGAAGTTTAACTCAAAAAAAACATTTAATGAACTGAGATTTCCAACAATAACCTACAAATGTTTAAGAAAGCCATGTCTATCACTGAAAGCACATACGCAAAAAAAGCAAAATCACTTGTCAAATAAATAGATAAATGATTAAATTTGATTCCTCTCTGTGAGGGAGGGTTCATCTGGACATGTTTAGGGCTTTCTTAAAATCTGTAATTCCATTGAAGCACCTATCAAAAAAATTCTTTCCCTACCAGAAAACTACTTAGAATTTCTGAATGACTAGAATGAAAATGAAGAAAACATATCCTAAAGACTTATTTTTTGGGGTCCTGATGTTCTTTTAGAGAGCTCTTATTCTCCTATTTTGAAGAATAAAGAATTATAAATAATTCTTTATAGAGAGGTAGGTGTCTTTTGGTTACACTCTGGAGAGGAAGGCAAGACTCCCACACCCTCCACTGGGGGAATCCCACGAGTAAAGCCCGAGATGGTGAGGACGAAGTACAAAAATACTGTTTA